CTTATAAAACAACGAGTGTTATTTCTAAAACTGTAATAAATACATAGCTTTTCTTATCTATATCATTAAATTGGAGCTCCTCCTTAAATTGTGAAAAAAAGATAAATGTAATGTTGGTTACTTACTCTTGCTTTGAAACTAAGTATACAGAGACCGACTTGTATTCTCAGGCCAACGGACGCCCCAGCTCCTAATTCTATGATTAAATTAAAACAACAGCAACACTGATAATCGACACAATTGAAAACTTAACAATGATTTAAAATCTGAAATGAAATATGAGTGGAACTTACCGAAATACAGTGCAATTGGACCAATCATAAAGGGACCTATTTTCTTATCGATGAGCACGAAATCTTTCGTCGGAAAAGGTATATCAACATCTGCGCAGAAGTCTACCTTATTTTGGAACTCCTTGCCCATTACTTTCAGAAGTGTTCTCGGATCACTAATTAACTGATGTAAAAAAAAAAAACCTCAAAAGTATTGCACATATTAAACAGTACAACGAGATCAGGGTTTTGAGTTATTTACTTTTCAGACGTCACATTTTAGGTATTTCACTCGTCATTTTATTGCAAAGTTCGGTCACAACCTATAATAATCGATAAAATATGGTAATGATTAAAGTATTTTTCATAAGCATTACAATTTAAGTGAAGAAAGGTCATGTTAGTTGTACCGTTGCTAGTGAGATGCATATACATGTATACTGGCCCCGATTTTCTTTGTGATCGTCATGCTATGTGAGTACTTATCTAAAATATATTTCTCATAAAATTCTTGATATAGCTAATTTCACGAGAGACATTACGTAATAAACCTAATATGCCTCAGTCACATTTCCCGGCAGATGACTGTATACCGATGGTAATCGCTAGTAATCAGTAGAGTGAGCGATGCCCTAAAATCGGACCTCCTCGGCAAAGAAGTTCTCCACACCTTTCACAGCAACAGGCATACCCCCGCCGATGATAGTACGACAAGTGCCTCCAGAGGGAATCATATTTGATCGGTGTGGCACCGATTACCGGTCGAACATCGATCAGACATCGAAAAGTTTTCACCGTTGGAGAACATCGGTTGTAGATCGGTCATACATTGGTCGACTCTGGGCCAATGTTTAGTCAAACACCGACCGAAGATCGGCCGATGCCTGTTGCCCACCACTCACCGCGAGATGACCTCAGATTCAACGGACACTGGACAGTGCTCGGTCAAACATCAGCCGATCCATGAAAGATGTGTTAATATTGGGTGGTTAATGCTAAGAAGCTATGTGGGGCATCGGTGAAGACATCGCTGAATGTTAACTACAGCTTATCTCCCGATGACCCCCACCGATGTACCCGATGGCCTCAGTCACCGTCCGATTACTATTGGTGTCCGGCCGGCATGCAACCACGCCACTTAATTTCATAAAAAAAGCATTGGTTTCTCATCGTTTAACCCATTGCTGGATAATGTGACTGATGCTTAAAAAGAATCTGGCAGGCTCGATAAGAGAGCTAGAATAGTATTCGAGACCATGTATGTGCATATACATGTATTCTGTGCACTTTGAATGTCTATGCATCACATTTTAAATGGCTTCACATATATATTATTTACATCCAAATAAGAAATCTTACCTCCTCTATCATTGCTTCCCTGATGGCGTCAATAATTTTTAGAATTTCTTTATCAAGTAAGTGATTTTCCGATAGCTCTGCTATGAAATCCTGAACAGTAACACTATCCATCGTCGGCAGTATGGGGTTATTTCCATTTCCTGGTCAATGTTTGACAAATAAATTATGACTTATATATGTCCACCTTTTTCCACTCCAATTTTTTGTTAATAACCGGAAGCGCTTATTTGTATTAATAACATCAATTGTTAATTTGAGATATTGTAAGCAATTATAGAAATTTGGGTCACATTTGAAAAAGTATATATTTATTACCTAAAGAACATGTCAAATCAACTTCGTAGTTCAACAACAATGGAACAGCTTGTAAACAGGAAATAAAATCAGATACACAGAGTTCGGCACTGAGGGATATAACTGCCGTTGACGAGTCAAATGTAATAGAAACAACCAGGTTGGCAGACATTAACCTTGAAACGTTTACCAAGGGAACCCTCTCTTCTATTTCGACACCTGAAATTTAGAAAATAAAATATCCAAAGGTTTCCTACTCATTTCGACAACCTGTATTTCGAACCCTACTTTCTTCAACTTTTAAATTTAATATGAATTAACTTTCAAGGTTGATTGTATTTACTTTATGGACCTGTGTTTATGAAATTATGTAGAGTGTTCAATTAAAATGAAATTTTGAAAAAAAAAGTTTTTAAAAAGAATTTCAAAACTCAAAGAGATGCTTAAAAGACGTATTAAGCACATAATTACAGGTTAGAAATAAGAAAATTATCACGACGTTATTAGAAACGTAAATGAAGTTCGATTTCTTTCGCCGATGTACACTTTTTATTACGGTTTCTTCGTTTCTACTTTATATTCTTATCATGTTATGTTCATAAAACTTAACATTTGCGATCATAAAATGTTGCTTTTCACTAAGACAAGAATAGATACATGTATATAATTTAGCAAAGAGAGTATAATTGTTTGTCCAGTCTACGACATAATAGGACAACCCTCGTATGCAATGTGATGAAATAAAACAACGTATTATTACCATCTTTAAATTCTATAAGGACCGAAGTTGAATGTGCCGTTACATTGACTTGTTTTGAACATCCATCCATTTTAACATCAGTAGTTACCATTAGTCTGTGATTGCCATAGGAAAATAAAACTGCACAGGAAATTTCATTGCAACTTCGATGCACAAAACAGACATTTCCAGGGCCTTTTTGAAGTCTATTGAGAAACATCGGGCATTCTAAAACGGAAAATATTTGTTTTCACACAGTCTCTGCCTACACAAATTTAGAAAAGTCACGTATAAAGATTAATAAAATGAAAGCAGAATGTCTATGTTGTCATGTACAAACCATTTTCAGTTCTTGAAAGAACTTTTGACACCATGTTTGATCTTGATCCAGACACTGTGTTAAACGATGCTTTTAGTAAACTTCTTAGTTTTGACATTGATAAACCATCCAGGTTTTGAGCAAAAATGGACGTTCTAAGCTGCAAAAGTTTACTATAAACGATTTCCATTTCATTTCCAACTTTATCTCCGAGTATTTCTTTAATTCTCCCAAGAGTATAGGAATTTACATCCACCAGATCAAGAAGATTCGGACCAGTCCTGAAGAACGACCAGAATACAAAATCTACATTTAAAAACTCGAAGGCAAGAAATATTACATTAGATTTTAGTCTTAATGTCATAATTAGCAGAATTTTTTCCAGCAAAACACTTTTAATGAAAAAATTTTAATAGAAAAATATGACAAAGAATTTAGATATAACAACACATCAATTTTTATCACCTGTTACTTGAGAAATCAAACAGCTGTTTGGCGATATCCTTGAAGTTTGACGCTAAACCCTTGAAATCTTCTTTGAACTTATTCCAGGCACCAACAGCTACTGAATCATTAGGGGAAGCCACTTCGAAATCTGGGGGGCGATGATTTGGTTCCACAGGAGGAAATTCGTTCCCAAGGTCTTTATCGATTTCAAAATTTCTATGGATTTCATCGTCCAATTTGTCAAGTGTTTCCCTAACTGCATCAGCCGAAACAACACTGAGGAAATTGATATACGTGTAATCTTTACATTCCCAGATCCATTCTGGATAGGGCAGCAGATGATCCAAGAATGGAGATGGGTCAATGTATTCATAGTCAGAATCGGACATTGGTGTCGTAGACTTTTTTCGAACAGATACATGGATAGAATTATAATCACAAGGGGATTTGTCAGCTTTTCCAATGATATCTTTACCCGCTGACAAAAACTGACCACTTGATGGGATTGTTGGATTCGGAATAATGTTTTCTATTATTATTTCATATTCGATGAAATCTTCATCTGTAGGCAAAATTAGCACTCTATTGTTTTCTTTAAAAACTTCACCATTGACAGGGCAACGAATCTGTACAAATATATGGACATGTTGCCTTTTAGACTGGTCCAAATTAAAAAACATTACATGTGTTTTTCAAAAATCAAAATGCATTTATAGTTGCTGTTTTTCTATTTACATTTCAAAAACAAGGACACAGTATACCATTTTTTTTTAGGTTTATCATTAATTAATTAATTTAATACATTTCTTTTGCTTTGTAACGACACTTGTATATGATCAATTTTCTCTCTTTCAATCATATCACGATTTCACTCTCTGGCATTCAACTTCGTGTCATAATCCAGTAAAAGGAAAAACAGGAAAAATATTAGCTGCAATAACGTGACCCTCTCCGATTTTTACTCAATTGACATTGTCATTAGTGGGGATCAATTCTATGGCATCTCCCTAATGGTGCAAATATTTATTTTTTAGTATGGACGAGTTAAGGCAAACTAAACATCACTTATCATTCAACTTAACGATATATTATATTTGCCAAAAGGTCATTTATCGACCAAAGATTTTACAGAATGTTTGCCTTTAACGAGATTTACATCCTTGAATCATCAATGTATTTGTAAATAGCTTGTCAAATAGCTTTACAAATTGTTCGTATGTAAAAACAAATGCTCTAGTGCATCTAATCGATCATAAGATTAAACTTTCATATGTAGTTATGATTATATATTGCTTCATAAAAAGGTATGCTAAGAAGGGAAAAGATGAAGTCGTCTCGTTTACCATAAAGTTAACTAAAACATAATACAATGAGAGGGAAATGCCATGTTTCAGAATGTACAATATCTTTGCATATGCAACCGTCAATTAAACCATTTCCAAAATTTAATGTTTCAAAATTCGTTTACATATATACATATATAATTTATAAAACAAATTGATTTACTTCTGCGTTATATCCAATTCGAACATCAACACCCAGTGTCTGATGTATCCCATTCGTATTTGTAGGCCAAACCCCTACTCCGCAGGTAGTATCTTCAACTCTTCGCCGTTTTGGAAATGTAATATGGAATTTGGAACCAAAAATCCTTTGTATGATATTCTTTGTCTTTATAAATCTGTCAAAATTTATCAATTCCTACATACAAGTTGCCATGTTCTATCAGATGATTCTTTCTATTCAAACAAAACAGTAAAAGCAAGAAAAAAAATCTTACATATCTCTAACTGAAGTATATCCGGATTTGACCGCCTTGACTGCATTCAATACTGAGTGGAAAGTATTGAAAAACGGAGAAACTAATTCACCCAAAGTGTCTTTAAATTGAGTTGTTATATTCCCAAAAGATTCCTGGATAGCCTCTAAAAATATGTTGGTTTGCTCCCTCTGCAAGTTTAATAATATAAATTCATAATTTGAACTCAAAGAGCTAAACACTATAAATATTCAGTTATCGTTTAAAGAAATATTTATAATTCACAGAAGAGCTAGCATTGAATTTATTTTCTTTTTTTTTCATAAATATTTTATTACAAATGAAAATGTAAATAAATATGTTTGGAGTTTTGCTTTCAGTCTACCGTCATTGATATGCCATCTGTAAGTGCAGTGGAAAGTTCATCTTCGAATTCTTCGGTGGATGGACTTTCTTTCTTCTTAAAAAGAAGACCGAAAAGGTCTTTGACATCTCCTAAAATCTCATCAAAATCTTCCCAGTAGTCAACCCAAAATGGCGCACGACCTGTTGACGAAATAGTTCATGTAGCAAATCAAACGTTGAAATACATGTTTTTGTAAACTGCATGCGTATTTTTTAAATGCCCTTTATTGCGTGTAAGTAACATGCTTTCACAAGAATCTGATTTCATTTGTTTATAAAGAGATATTTTTACTCTGTATATATAAAGGAATAATACCTTTCAGAAGAGCCAGGGTCTCTACTATTTTGTTTTTTACATCTAAAAACATTCCAATCGCGAGCTTTATACTGCAAAACATGAAACGTAAATTAACCGGAAGAAAACTGGCAAAATTTGAATGCAATGAAATTTTTACTTCAATGTGTAAATGTACATTAGACATGCCTGAAAAAATATTTGATTAAGACGGTGGCTTTATATTAAATGAACTTACTCCAGTACAGATTTTCCAAATGCAGTTATTGATTGAACTGGATTTGCCAAAAACTGTTTCAGTGCTGAAATTATTGTTGGAACAGAATCAATCAATTTCTTTGCAACAAAGGGCAAAGTCACAGTGACGGTATCAGCCATAGTCTAGAACAAACAGAGAAAAATAAAATTTATATCTAAAATTTCAAATTAAAAATGCATAAGTATTTCATACGTGATAAGTTAATATTTTCTTTTATTTTCAAACCATACAACTTTAAAAGTATAATACATACTTTACAAAGAAAATTAAAAACTGACATGGAAATAATTTTCTTTTAATATTTGCATAACGATACATTTTTTATGATAAATAAGAGAAACGCATTTTCAAAGTATTACTGATGAATGCTTTCATTAGAAAAGAAATATTTTGAAGATCTTAAACGCATTTTTGTTGTATGTAGTGTAATAAAATAAACTTAGTTCCATACACTGTAAAACTCTGTAAGATCCTCCTTCACATCTTCAACAAAATATCTGGCTTTGATAATTATCTTCTTTATTTGGTCAATCCAAGGAACCCCTCCGTACTCAATGACCTTCATAACTGCTTTGATGACATTTTGAATGATGCTTTCTAAAATTAGTGGAAAGTTTTTGACCAGCTTAATAATCTTGTTGACAATGTATTGGATGCCATTGTCAAATACTTGAATAATGTCTTTGAAAGCCTTTACAGTGCTTTTTATCGGATCTACCACTGTTTTTACGATTCTGTCGAATATCGTTGCTAAGTCCTGTAACCCATTGATCCCAAAGTCCTGTAAATAAAAGTTTGAAGGGAAAAGTAATTTCTAACCATGAAATGGAAATTAAAAAGTAAATGAACCGAGATATCTTTATTCGTAGAACTTTAATTGTTGATAATACTTAAATGTTCATTTTCATGATATTACATGTATATCTGTAAGTACAGGTACATTGTATATCTATATCATTGATAAAAACAAAAATAAATACTATGCATTTTGAGATTTTTTCTGAATATTTAGAAAGTGGTAAATCGGCAAAATTAAGAAAGGTAAAAAAAGAGGCCCAGGGGCCACAGTGCTCACCTGAGCACATCGGCTAGGAAAAAGCACATATCAGATCAGAACTGAAAGTTAAGTAACGTTGGGAGGGGGGCTTGAATTTTAACCCCCCAGGGGATCTTGATTTGAACGAACTAGAATCTACACTACCTGAGGATTATTCCATATAAATATTACTAATCATGGCTTTGAAGTACATGTACTTGAAAAGAAGATTTTAAAATGTTCCCTATATATTCCTATGTAAAACTTTTAACGGCCATTATGGCCCCACCCTAGCCCCGGGGTCATGATTTGAACAAACTTGAATCTACACTACCTGAGGATAATTTCACATGAGTTTCATCTTTCCTGTCTTAATGGTTCTTGAGAAAAAGATTTTTAAAGAATTTTCCTATATATTTCTATGTAAAACTTTGATCGGCCATTGTGGCCTCACCCTACCCCAAGGGGTCATGATTTGAACAAACTTGAATTTACACTACCTGAGGATGCTTCCATATAAGTTTCATCTTTCCTGACACAGTGGTTCTTGAGAAGAAGATTTTTAAAACATACCATCAAATTTTCACTATTTCTCAATTATCTCCCCTTGAATAAGGGCGTGGCCCTTCATTTGAACAAACTGGAATCCCCTTCACCTAAGGATACTTTGTGCCAAGTTTGGTTGAAATTGGCCCAGTGGTTCTTAAGAAGAAGTCGAAAATGTGAAAAGTTAACGACAACAACGACGACGACGACAGACAACGGACAAATTTTGATCAGAAAAGCTCACTTGAGCCTTCGGCTCAGGTGAGCTAAAAAGTATTTAAGATTTTACTCAAATATCGAATAAATAAATCTTAGTTAAAATTTCCAGATTTTCGGTGATCGTCATTTTAGTCGAAGTTTACGTTATAGTAATGTTCATCAAAAAGATAAAGTTTACCTTAAGGATGTTAATATCATATGCAGCATGTCCCCTGTAGCAGGCGTGAGCGCGAAAGAGATACTTTTCTATATCAAACCAACCAATCATGATTTTGGCATATGCATCATCATAGACATTCAATAAGGCGTATCCACTGAGTGGTTCTAAAATTTATTATCACATAACATAAGTAAATAAATAATTTAATGATATAATTACCCCATTATCCAATGGATATCACTCAAATGGTTTTGTAAGTGAAGAAGATCATGCACATTAATGTGGATTATTCATTAAAATGGATTAAAGTTGATATTGATGCATGAAAAGTGATAAGACCCCGATGAGTTTTGATTGCACATGTTTATCATCCAACCCACCGTGTGTTTTCTATCCGTTCGCCAAGACTCGGGATAAAACAAAAAACAACACACAACTCGTTGGATGATTATTACAGCCAACTTTAAATAATGGATATTATAATTAAGTCTTAATTCGTAAAATTAAAGTTTAACACGTTAAGTGCCACATAAACATGAATATCTGCAGTGTAAGGAATCCATATAGTAACATATTAATAGAGACAAAAAATATATTTTATCAAGATGAACGATATTAATGTTTTCTTTCTCTCGGGAAACATTTAAAGAAAATATAGTAATTTTGCATTTATGAGAGGAAAACCGTGTTATATGATACGTACTAATTTCTACTTCCAGTTCATTTGTCAAAATCAGTCCAATTCCGGCTCCTAGGGCATCATTTCCAAGTTCTTTAGTCCAATGTATGCCTGGAAGTTTCATTGCAAAAAAGAAACCATCCTTGAATCTTATATCAAGAATGCCTCTTTTTACTCTCATCAACGTTTGGTATGAGTAATTTCGGCTACAATGTAAGGATTGTTTTCAGCAAGACATTGAAGATTAAATTATAATATGCAAAAGTAGAAATTTCTACGAAATTATTGGTGGCAGAGAATAGTTTCGGATAGGGTACCGGTCAAGAATTCTCAGGAGTATTAATTCCTAGAATATTTTATGTGGTATATTGGAAGAATAGGTTGGTCATATACATTTTATTGATTATATTTCATGTTCCTTCAGTGTCATGTATACATTTTAATAGGATTTTGAATGGTCACACAAAATAAACGCTAAAATGCACCCATCTACAATTTTCTCAGAAAAAGGTGCTGGGCTTGTAGAATTAATTGTAGCTTGTAGGTTAGGTGGTTAAATAAATATATCTTGCTGTTTACTGGCATGTACAGGCGTTGATGTGTATTTTGTGCGGTAGCGTAGGGCATTACAGCAGACCAAGTAGCTGTTGTGAATCTCAAAGAGAAGGTGTATAAATGTACGAAATTTTCAAATTGTCCCTGTGCCATGTTTTGGACACAATCTGTATGTTTTAAATGCTTTATTCCTCAAAGCTTTCAATTTCTCAAGGGACAGGAACATGCTACTGTTACATGTCGACAAAATTCAAATTAAAGTTTCCAATGCTCATCCTATCATCTTATTATAAGGGGAAAGTTTTCCCCCAAAAATCCTTTCATCAGCCATCTATTACATTTTTGTCGATAAACTTGTTCGAATTGTATAGAACGTTCTGTGTGCATACAATTCATGCAGATAGCAAACGTTGCGATGTTAATATATGTAGAGGGATTTATACTAAACAATAACAATGCTCTAAAAAATATAATTAATCTATTAAACCTTAAAATGATATCTCGATGCTGCGGTATACTTCTTCTCGATAAAGGATGCTTCTCAAAACATTCCATGGCGTTTTGTCGAACTAAAGAATATTCGTCGTTTACTGCCAGGTCAAGTAAAGCAACAGAACTCTACATGAAGTAAAAATTATAAAGTCAGTGAAAAAAATACATTATTACTCTATGATGTATTTGTAATTTTTAAAGTCTCTTGGGCATTTATCTTTGAGCTTTGAAATGAAACAAATGGAGATAACAAACAGTATTCTTCTCATACCTCTGTGCAGTTGAAGTGCCTCATTCCTATAATAGCAGCCCTCCTCCAACTGTTGTCCCCCTCCCCGGGTCTCATGTACGTCAGGAGGTGGTCCCTGGCGTGTCCTGAATTTCCTAAGGCGTGGATCAGCACCATTTTGGAGTACGTGTAATTATGGACTTCACCATCAAATTTGTCCACTGAGCGACGTGGTCTTCTTTTATTGTACATTGCTTTATAACTTGCTTGAAGAAATAATATAAAACTAAACCGTTATAAGATAAAAACATGGGAAAGACATAATGCGCCAAAAATATCTTCTTCTATAACTTTGACATTGGTTTGTTCTAGAGAGTTTCACATTTATAAATGTGTTTAACGGGTGTAATTGAAAGCATTCATTTAATCTGAAAATGATCTTAGATATATTAAATATATTGTTTCATGCAAGCATAAACATCATTTTCTTACTTTGATTATGAGGAGTCAACCAGTTCTGAAGGGACTCCAGTAGATGGTCAGTTTTTTCGTCGTGCTCAGAATTGTTTCGAAATATTCTTATCAATGTTCCAAGTGCCAAACAAGCATGTTTGTGGGTTTTTGTCATGGCAATTAAACCTAGTATAATAATAATTTTCATAAAATGCAATCATATGAAATTAAACACAAATTCAAGCTTTAAGTGACAAACCGAACAGGAAAATGTTAAAGACATATAGGCTGCAATTGTTAATGGTTAAATATTTGTAAGTTTCATAATAGATATCTTTGCTGGCCATGGGTGATATGAAATATTTTCCATCACATTTTATTTAAATAGTAAGTCGTAAAATTAATGTTTTATTTCATAATAGGAATCTTCAAAATATTTTTGTCACCACCGATTAAAAAACGGATTTATAGTCACACTTCGAATATTTGTACGATACACTGTACAAGACGTTTAAATTTCAGTATATACCTATATTGGCATGATCTGGACCAAGACAGAGTTTTTCCACAGCTTCTAACAAAGCCTGCGAGAATAAAAAAAAAAAGTAGTAACCCAGATAGTTTTTTTAAATGGTTTAGATGCATTAAGAAATATAAGGGTTAAAAAAATATGAAATTCAAAATAAAAAAAAAACAAAAAAAAAACTAACCAGTGTAGGGCTTTTCATATCAGCCATATGGAAAAATATTCGAAAAAGAACTGTTTCGTTTACATTATCCTTCTCTAAAAAGTGTCTGATAATCAAATTTTGTGTGATATTACGCCCTTCTTTAAAAAGAAGATCAATGAATAAATTTTGTCTAGTGGAACAAGTTGTGTCATTTGCTTGGCATTCCTTGGAGAACTCGCGTGTGACTAGTTTAACATAATCCTCCTCTGGAAGGCGATACACTATCTGAACCAGGTCCGCAAAGCAATCGGATCTATTGCTGCTGACTAGAACGATAAAAACATATATAGTAATAGAAAAAATAACATCAAAGGGAAATATTGACTAATGAATTTTCTCTGAAAAAGAAGTTTACTTGAACGCTAATAATTTTTCAAAAGAGATGTAAAATAAAGATAGAATATGACCAGATAACTGATAAAAGAAATCAAAATTATATTGTACACATTTTCAGGATACCAAGCGGCATAGACATTGACAGAATCGCCTTTATACTTGACAATTAAATAAATGAATGATTGAGCAGCACGTGGGTTACTTTTATTACAAAGGGATCGATCTGAATTTTAGAAATTTTGGGACATTGCTTAATTACCTTCTTCTTTGTAAGACTGAATACAAGTAACATTTGATTCAATTTCGTGTTCAACTTCTGATAATCCAGTCGATTTTGAACTCTCCTGTAAAAAATATCGAAATGATTTTTTTTAAATACAGTCATTCTAAAATCGAAATTTAACAGAAAGGAATATATCTTACCCTTTGAACAACAATGCTGTCTTTAATTTTCAAATACTTGTCCAAGGGAGATAAAGTATAAACTTTATTCAGTTTACTGTAATTATAAAAAAAATTGAGTTATTAAAAACATGTGATTAATACCATATCCTAATTAAAAGACAAATTCCTTTTGTGTCTGAATTTTATTTAAAAAAAAAGTAGAGGTACATGTACTTTGAGCACTGAACTCACCCCAAAAAACACAACTAAATGAAAGAAGTTTAAGGGAAGTAACTTTACTCACATTTTGTTTACGAGTCTTACTTCCGTTGACGTGTTTGATTCAATGTCTTTCACGACTTAAAAGAGCAATTAAAAAACAAAGTTTATTTTTTCTTCCTTATTATCAATAAGAAATATGTGAATGCCTATAATATTATGGAAATATAAAAGTAAAACTGATTCAAATTATTGAAAACATAATCAACATTAAAACAGATAGAATAAGTATTGGTAGATTTGATGAAATCAATTTTTTCTCCAATATGATTAACCTAAAAAATAACATAAATTAAGTATGTTTCCGTTTATAATGACTTTTTTTCTAAAGAAAAGCATATCAGTCATTGGTGAAGTTTGCATGCATGCACTGAACCGTCTTACACTACAATTTACTGCATACATAAAATACCTCCACTTTGCTCTTCTCTGATTTCCCTTTCTCCAGAAACTGGGTTTCTGTAAATAAATAATTCTTTGTTACAATAAATGTGTTGCTAGGCAACTTTTGAATTATATTAGTATTCAAACAAATTTTTACGATCCTATCGTTTTTTGTAATTTGGTATTATATCCAATCCTTAATATAAAGAAAGGACGAAAAGAAGTTTTCTTTCTCAAAATGAGTTGAATTCTCTTCAAATAACGACACATGTTTAAATGTTTACTGTACCTTTTTTCTTGTATCTTGTTTTGGTTTTGAAGAACAACTTTATCATGTGCCTGAACATATTCAATGACCCCACCATGACTATAATGTAGCGCCTGGGGAAAAATGCATAAATCACACTCAGAATACTCGTTTCTGATACAAGGCCACCATACATATTTGTGTAAATCTCTCATTTATTATCATTCATTATGATTTCGATTGTTTTAATAAACAGAACAATAAAGAGGCATTTTTCTGTTATTTTAAGACCTTAATCAATCGTTGAAACGAAACGTAGTTGATCTTAGAGCTGATGACAAAAAATTGTTTTTTAGAAGAAAATTGCAAGTGATTTGATTAAAAGAAATTCTTACCTTAACATGTTTTCTGTAGACGTCATCTGTGCTCTCATGAAATTTATCGACGCTATAACCTGAGGATGTTCTCTGAACAACGTATTTGTGCGGCAAATAACCTGGAATATACATTTTTCTAGATGTGAATTGCATTTTTAAGAAAACTTTTTTAATTTTATGTTTATTAGTATCATAATTTTAGTTGGTAGTATAGATATTTAAATCTTTACTTAAATGATTATATAGATATGTTCCCATTTTCTTTTTTTCCAAGTTTCTTTTCTTACTTTTTATTTTACTTTATTAAACGATAAAATGCTGATCATAAGGCATTCTCTGAAGGGTAGAGTTTGACTTGTTGGATTTGATGAATAATATAACATCTTTTTTTTACATAGACGGATCAGTTTCATCATTCCTATAAATAGATGCAGAACTTACCCGAATGGTCGTGTTCCCAGTTGTAAAAAGCCTGTTTGTTTTGAAGACCAATCTAAAAGAGACACAGAGAATTATTTCATAAAATATGGAATGAATTTTATATAAAATGAATATTAAATGAATTTGATTTCTTTGGAAAGATTTTAAACAGCTCCTAAGACACTTTTTGACTTATCATCAGAGTTGTTACACCTTCATGGTGCTTCTTCTAAAAAGTAAAATTAAAAAGATAAAAAGAAGACTGTAAGTGATTTATTTCAACAAGAACATTTCATTGACCGATGATATTCATACTCATTGTTAAAGCAATGTTACAGATCGAATTGTCGTCGGATTTCCCCGATATTTTCCGATCATAAGAAGCACATGGGTTATTTGACAGGTTGGCAGCAAGTGTTTTTCCTACATTGAACCTGAGTCCACCTCTGTTTTTTCAATGGTCTGTGTTTTATTACCAGGAGGCGGTCGGTTATTGCTAGCGCTCTCGAGCGCTAGCAACCACGTTAGTCCAAATTCCTTGAATACGCATGCTCGGTCGCCATGGTCGTGCATTCTGGGAAAACTGTGAAAAACTACTACAGATAGACCGTACGATAACAATTTCGTTATATCGTTTTGTAGCATGAAATAACTGTTTAATATTTATTATGTAACTTACACTTTAAAGATAATTTCATATTTAAAATATTTCAAATTCTGGGGGTTTTTTTGCTGACGGAAAAGCCCGAATCATTATCTGATTGTTCTAAACAATGACAGGGGAGGTTGTTGTTTTTTTTTCATCTAGACACAATCAAAGATAGATTCTTAATTTCTGATTGGTCAATTCAGCCAATCTTACAAATTCCAGAAACAGAAGCAAGAATTTACACTAAAAATAACGAATAAATCCACTATTTTTGTTTAAAAATTCTGATTTGTATGGCTTTTAACCTAACATATCTTGACAAAGAATCGATGACCCAAAGGACCAATTAAAAAGCTACTTCACATGCGTTCCAAACTCTCTGGACTCTTTACACGACACACACTTAATTTGAGTTATTTTCTATATTCCTTTCAGCTCCCATGTATTTTCTTTGCTACATTGCCAAGAAATTCTCTTCTTTAAATCAGCTCATACATGCAATGTCTCAATCGGTATCTTCTTCATATTAGATAGAGCCCCCCCCCCCTCTCCAGTAAAGGTCATATATGTTCCGTTGCGCCAAAACTCCAATAGGTCACCCCCCCCCCTTATTTCTTAACCTTTGTGTCTACAAACTACGCCTCACAGAACAATTATAACTTTATCACTCTCCAGCCTTGATAAAAATTAAAGAATTCAGCAAAATAAATCACTTGATCACGGATCTTCCTTTCTGTGTTTAAAAAATGCTACGGCGCTAGCTCGCCTATCTTTTTAAAAGATAAACTTGTTTGATATGAAAGTTTGAAGTCGCTGTGCGTTTCTGCGGAGTTAAAACAATTTAAATAAAAACTATTTTTTTTTTACATTGATATAATAGTATATCAAAAAGAGCGTCTAAAATGTTTAACAAAAACACAAACATAAAATTAATTTTTTTTAAAAGAATGAGGACAATAATTCATCCAATCCTGATTGACAAACTTTGACATATTTGAGGTGCGGGGAAAATTAGGACACGTGTTGGGCATAATCTAAAGCAAAGACCGCTTAATGTATATTACACAATTTTACTTTCTCTATTTTAAACAGGATTTGTTGTACGTATTTATTTTAAAATGACGTGTACACATGTACATATATAAACATTTTTAAAAATATGGATAATGTTAATTTATCAAAAGACCTAGCAGGCTACAGAATATTACAAGATTTGGCCCTAGCAGAGGAGGATAATGCACGTTTTACAATGTGTGCCAAGAATTTTCCCGCTACATCTCAAAGAAACTGAAAGAGAAGAAATGTAGTGGCGGATCTAGAGGGAGTTCATTTTTTTTTCCTCTAAGAGAGAGCAAGGAGCCCCACATATTTGTTGCGTTTTTATCAAATTAAAACTACACTACATATCTAGTTGTAGATTAACATTAAACTTTAGTTCGTTTTAAACTTTTAATGTAAATACTAAATACCTAAAATTATACACGCCCACGGTTTGTTGACGTTTGCTTATACATATACATGTAATACTGAACATGCATTATATATTAAGACTAGAAACTCTTGTTGCTACAGCAACAAAGAAGGTCTTCCGTTCTCCTCTATTTATCACATGAATGAGCTTTTATCTATGTTAAAAAAGGCATATAATATTTTAAATGATTTCAGGAAAACAAACAGCCGGAGGTGTAACTTACCAAGATTCTTTACTTTAGACAATTATAGTCTTAATAACATGTACAAAAAACATTTTCAATTTTTGTATCACTTCCGGTGACGACCGGAAGTGACGGCAGGCGCATTTTACCCTATATTTGTTGTCCAATCTTCATGTTTTTTTTATTCATAGAAGTTTAGTGTCTTGATATATAACAGTTTGAGAGATCTCGTAATATTATCTTCTCATTTTGAGGACGAGAAATCACGTGACCGGAAGTTAATTTTTGAAAAGATATTTGAGGTTACTCTAGACACATCAGTCTGAATAACATGTCCTAAAATCATTTCAAATGCTATTTTTATCAAAAATATTTATGGGATAGTATGATACTAAATTTATTCAGTTTTTCTTTCATAACCGGAAGTTGTCGATTTTGTTTCCAGTAGGACTGACATATTTCAAAACTACAAAAAAGATGCTATAATGTATTACTAAGAAAGATTCCATAAGAAAAGATTTTATTTATTTGTTCACTTCCAGTGACAACCGGAAGTGACGGTGGACAATCTTATCCTTAGTGGTTTTGCCTACTCATCAAGATCTACCACTTGTAAAAGTTTGGTGTCTTAATCTCTTACCGTTTACGAGATCTAGTAATGATAACTTCTCATTTTGAGGACAGGAAATAACGCAACCGGAAGTGAATTTTATGTAGATATTTGGCGTTATTGTAGACAGTTGTAGTCTTAATAACATATCCAAAAATCATAACTAATACTTCATCTATAAAAAATATTTACAGGAAAGAAAAATACTCAAATTATGTAGTTTTTCTCTTATAACCGGAGCCCCGTGGGGATCCGGGTTAGAATAGGTCCCCAGTACCCCCTTGCCTGTCGTAAAAGGCGACTAAATGGGGCGGTCCTTCGGATGAGACCGTACAAACCGAGGCCCCGTGTCACAGCAGGTGTGGCACGATAAAGATCCCTCCCTGCTCAAAGGCCGTAAGCGCCGAGCATAGGCCTAAATTTGCAGCCCTTCACCGGCAATGGTGACGTCTCCAAATCAGTGAAATATTCTGGAGAGGGACGTTAAACAGAATTCAATCAATCAATCTTATAACCGGAAGTTGTTGTTCTTTGTTTCCGGCGTTACTGACATATTTCAAAACTACAAATAAGATGCTATTATGTGATGCAAAACAGTTTCCATAAAGAAAAGTTGAATTTTTGGATTTCTTTGATCACTTCCTGTGACGACCGGAAGTGACTGCAGACGATCTTATCCCCCATGCATTTGCCTACTCATCAAGATATACCAC